AAAGCAGCATACACTTCAGAGAAGAGTTAAAGAAATATTCAACATCAGAATGTAAATCTCAGGGCTGTTTCAAGAGCTGTGAGTAGATAGACGAGATTATTAGACTTGCATAATTTCATAAAATGTAGCTTATTCTTTGTGAGTGAGGATCCAATTTAAATAGAGGAAAATTATAATCTTTTGGCTCCTTGTATGCAAAATATTGCTTTGACATACGTGGACAGTGGTGAACCTATCAGGGATAAAGTAGTGCGGATGCACATTCTTAGTTGGGAAAGATGATACAGCATTTCTGATGAATAGAGCCCACAAGCGTTCCCTAATGTATTATAAGAGAGATCTTTAACAAGGTCATATACTTCCATACTGGAGTTTATACCACATTGAATTATAACTCTTTCAACTAAATCTTTGAGATGGTGCTGAGCTGGCCTGACACTAGGATAGCTTATGTTATTATCACATAATTGAAAATCAGTAAGAGCAGCAGACATTTTGTTTTGCTCCTTGACATCACCTTTGCTTCTTGTCCATATCTAGTGTAAATCTTAAGGAAAATTTTCTTAATTAAATAATAGGATGCTCACGGTATAAAATAGAATAATGTCTAGCCAAGACAAACGTGAGAATTGAAGCAATGCTTTAGCTATGGATACGTTTTGAGTGTTTAATTGTAGAGTCAAAACAAAATGAAAAGAATTTCTGCGTTGAAAGATGCAATGAGAGAAAAAAAGACAAAGGAAGAAAAAGCCACATTGAAAAAGAAATGCGTTACATGTATGTAAATGAAAGACCCTTTACCGTTGTTAAATAGTAAAGGTTTAATCTTGATAATCTGGTAGAATCATGAATAAAAAAAACCCTTGGCATCTAGAAACTCTAGGTTTATCACCTGGCAATTTTTTGTTTTGTTTTGTTCCTTCATCCAATTTTGGATGGAGAGAGTTTTTGACCCACCAGCGCATAGACATTAGAATTCTCTGACAGCCTACCCTTGGACGGCTGAGGGTTTGAGAGTGGAGTGAGCTATATATCTTTCAGCATTGTTATTTCTGTGTCCACAGAACTGAATTTTCAGATAGCTTTGGAGCACCTTTTAGCTATCTCCCCTCTTTCTATGTTTGTATGTCTTCTTTTTTACCCCTGCCTGTTTGCCATGTGAGCTATCTTACTTACTGCTGTTCTCGTATCTCATCATGCCTGTTTTTCAGATAAATGGGGAAATGGTTCATGAGAGTTGAAGGGTATAGACAAGGCTGAGGGGTCAAGCTCTGTTCTAAATGGGATGAGATTTGATTTGCTATTGTTTGGCATTCTAAATACCAGATTATCACTCATCTCTGTAAATACAAGGAAAATTACTGTGTTTTCTTTTTTATATATCTTGATACATATATGTGACAAATATTCATTATGTACTTACTGTAGACAGTAATGGGGATTTCTTTGAAGGTGCTACCACGAACAAACTGAAAATAAATATTTATATTTAGTAACATGAAATGTAGTCATTGTATTAACAAAATCATGGCACCATGGTTTTTAATTCTTAATAAAAAAGTAGTGAAGCTATCATTACATTTAATAGAAATGAAGTCTTCAATAAATCATCTTCCAATTCCCTGCTATTGGGCAAGATGGCATAAAATGATTGGATTTGTTGCTCAAGAGTTTTAAAAATTATAGAATAACTAATCCCAAATTAAGTTTATTAAATAATATTTCATATATTGTCTGTTATTTCAGCTTTACCAATATTCAACCCTATATTTATCCCAAAATACTCCTTTGTCTTTAACTATTGTGATTAATGGCAATTTCTTATAAGTAAATACTTCATCTTTCCCTTATATTCCATAGCAAAAATATTTGATGATAGAAAGATTATAGTTTTTTATCTACATGTCTTATCTTCCCTGCTGGACTGTAAACTTTTTGAATAAAGGGGCCATATCTGATTCAACATAATGTTTCTCATAATACTTAACACACTTCTTGGCCCCAAGTAGCTTTTATTAGATATTTCTTGAATAAAACCATGAAGAGATGATGCCAGCGGTGCATCGACAAAGTGCGAGGCAAGTCCAGTGTGCATCTATCTGCTTAGTGTGCACATTTCTAGTCTCTTAGGTTAAACCTGAAATACCTTCTCAGCACATTAGAAATAGATGCATTCACATCTGTACCTTAATTTGGATGTATTTGATCAGTTTATTAAGTATTTCCAGCAGCTGATCATTTCCAACAGGTGTGTCTATGAAAAGGAATAGTAAATGAATATTGGTAAGAATGGGTAAAATAAAAACCTAGTTTTCTATTGAAAAAGAGTTAGCCCATTGATGGGTTCAATAATCACCAACCTGCTGGGTAGAGGAGTTTATCTACAACGTGAATGACACCATTTGTTGTCATGATGTCAGATTCTTTTGATTTCAACTCATTTACCAGAAGTGTATCATTCACCTGTTAAAACAAGGGATAATATCAATGAGAAATATAATGAAATACGAGCACTAGGATAATTGAGTGACAGATGAACACTCTCATAGAGTCGTTCTAGAGAACTTACTCCTTTCAGATAGATCTTGCTTCCTTGTGTGGTCTTTAGAATGTTAGTAACACCAGGTTCGAATCCCTTTCCAATGAAAACTCCTGGTGTCAGGTGATAGAGGATGATATTTTGAAGAGCATTTTTGTCCCCTAGGG